TGAAAAGTGCTCTGACTTCCTTACGGCTGGTGCTGGGTTATCAAAGGGACACTCTGCATATGTCAGTTTTCCTTTAAATTTTCAAATATGGCATTAAAGACACCCTTACTTGTCTTACAGGGCTGTGTCTCATAATCAATTGAGTCAAAACACAATTGGATCTTTAAAATTGTAAAGCACTATTAAACGTGAAGTTTTATTATGTAAAACTATGTTACTTCAATCACTTGTGATGATTTTCACTTTAGGTTTAAAAGCTGTAAGGAACAAATTTGATCATCTGAATTGATGAGGACTTTCCTCATCCCCTTTATTCTCTGTTTAGTTCCAGACCTCCAGATAAGGAATGCATGTGCTGGTCTGTAAATATTTCTTAAGCACCATCTGCAGGCTTATGGCACTTTTGGAAAGCAGTGGACTGTCAGTGAATGTTTGTTTGTGTGCCAGGGAATTATGAAGTTTAAAGAATATCAAGATGAATTTATTTTTCCACTGTGCTGCACAGCTTGAGCCTCCTCTAAAGAAATATCAGGCACACTCTAGCAAGTCTTTCTGGTATTAATGCGCCTCTGGACTTGGGCCCAAGGGGACCAGGGCATCAGCTCAAGAGGCCTTGGAGATAGGTTGCTGGCAATAGGAACAAGCAGAAGTTTCTAAACCCTTGCCTGTGGTCTCAAATCTCAAAATACATAATGGTTTGAGATGATTCCTGGGCCCAAATTAGTAACTAGTTATTAAATTTCTCCAAGTATTCTTTTCTGTAAAATGGGAGTAATAATTCTCTCTACCTCATAGGTGGGAGTAATAATTCTCTCTACCTCATAGGTATGTGATAAGACTGAAATGACACACTATAAGCCTCATACTTTGGACTTGTTTGGCACATACCTACTCTATTCATTTTCCAAACATTTATTTAGTACCTCCTGATGTGTCAAGGCCTATCTAGGTGCTAGTGATAGAGAATTGAATGAGGCAGAGAAGGTCTGTAATCCTGCTGCTTCCATTCCAGCAGGGTAGACTTGGCAAGACAAACAACAAATACTGAAAATATCAGAATATGAGAGGTCTAAGATGGAAATAAAAGAAGGTGAAAAGGCAGTGTGTTAGAGAAGTCTCTCTACTGCTAAGTCAGGAAATGCTTTTCTTCTTTTCAGAAGTGACATTTAAGCTCAAACAGATTAATTATTATTTAATCACTGCTAATGTTTACCTAACATACTATTATACTGGTTTATCTCTGTATTATTAAAATTGATTATAATAAACAACCTTATAATAATAAAAATGCACAATTAATTACTGTTAATAATAATAACACCACCCATTACCATAGCCAGTCAACTATCAACTATTCTGCGTATAATTACCCACTTGATAGATAAATGTTAGCTTCTGGCTGATTTTCCCCTGCCTTCCAGTATATTCTTGGCTAGTCTACTCCTATTATCTATGAGTGTATCCTTGGGGAATGAAAATGCATCTTACTGTTTGTCTGAAAAAAAAAAAAGTTAATACTGATGCAAAAACCCTACACATAATGCATATCAAAGCCAAATATAAATTATTTCTGAAGTTATCTGCTGTTGTGGCTTATTGCTGCCAGTGTGGGCTCTTCTATTAGCATGGATAAGTGGAACCTGACCATATGTCAAGAGAACACGTCCTTTCGATGTGACCTCATGTATCAAACGCACACCCCGGGAGGCTTTGCCATCCCCCCAACAACAACAGACTCTTCCGGGAGGTTTTCCTCCTTTTTTCCTCACCTGTGACCGTGTGCTGCCTCCCCTGTGTGGTGTTGGTGTGGAGGAGCCTTTCCCTGCCTGCCTGAGCAGGTGCTCAGTAACGCCCGCCGCTGGGCTTCTCAGGGATGCTCCAGCTCAGAGGCAGGGGCTCCGCCTTGGGGGCTGTGACCCTTGGGGCAGGATGCTCTGTGGAACCCCTGGGCTGTAGCTGCCACTACCTGCAAACACAGGAATGAAAACAGTGATTTGATGTAATCGTACACTAGGTATTCTGAGCCACAAGATTGTCACTTTGTTTTAAAATGTTGTGTCTGGCTTGGCGTATCATTAGCAGAGCTCAGGGGCTTTTTTCTTTCCCTCCCATGCTATTCGAACAATGAAATCTGACCTTGAATACATTACATAAGTCTCAGCCTACCATTCATCACAATAGGTTCAACAACGATTTTGACGGCAGAGAGCAGCCCTCGGTTTAAACAAGTAAAATCTGGCTGGCAGACTGTCTTACTAGAGAACTCTTGATAACTCTCTTCCATATGGCCCCATCAGTGTCTTTGCATTTTAACAGCCTGATTTGGTACATTTAAGCACCAGTAAATATGGAGCAAACCCACGTCTGAACTGGCTTGCATATAATGCACATTCAACAGTATAAAGGGGCAGAGTCTCCTGCACTTTTCCTGAGACACTCCAGCTGACTTTACAGTGTTGGCATCAACATTCCAGAAAATGAACCATGTGAGAAGGGAAAACACAAGAACAGAATTTTGGAAAGGAATGGGCTTCTGATTTTATTTTTTTTTGACAGAATTGACTCACATTTCTGCTTTTCACCAAACATGGGTATCTGGTGAGTTTGAGCTGTGTCTGAGCAGAAAGCACAAGGCTGTTCCAGCACCAGTCACCCATCAGTTCTGATGAGCTGGTCAGGGGCCATCTGTCTCAACGGTGACAGCTTAGGGGATGCTTCTCGGGGTGTTGCTCATGCCCTGTGCCCCATCACCTGGCCCAAGATTCTTCCACAGTGATGGGGCTGCTCTCCTGAGCTTCAGCAAGATCCCAAGAACCAGAGCTGTCAGTTGTGGGTGTTTCTCCCTGGGTTTCCTCACGACTGGGTTGGCTTCTGTGAAAGGACTCCTCCATTTCCCTCTAAAATTATTCCATTGTCCTCCTAATCATTCTCCTGGGCTTGCCTTTTTCCATCTAGTACTGCTCCCCAGCGCTCATCACTGATGGTCCCTTATTTTACTCTCTCTATTCTCCTTTGATGACCATATTCAAACTCCTTGCTTATACTCCTCCTAGAAATTTCTACCAAATTCCAGTCACTTCTTATGCAGCTTCTGCTGGACATTTTCAGTTCAAGAGTCAAAAAGCACTTTCTTCTACCTCTCTGTGTGCTATCTATCTCCTCCTTAAAAAAAAGTATATTTATATAGTATCTTTTTTTCCTTATTTTTTACTTTTCTTTTTTTTGCTTATTTTTTACTTTCTCTTACAGAATGGCACCATGATCTATAAAATGCTCAGGTCAGGCATCTTGAAAATACCCATGACACTTTCATTTGTTATATGCAGCTGAGCACTGAGTCCTGCAGCTTCCATGCATATCTGTTGCATCTTTCCAATCTTTATTTTCCACTCTGACTCCTGTTGCCTGTGTTGAAGTTTCACCACTTCCGCCAAACAGTTGTAGAAGATGTGATACCACTTTACTTTCCATGTCAGGTTCTTTTGTCCTTTTCTGTTTCCCAAGATCAGGCAACGTTTGTTGAAATGATAGATAAGTAGAAACTCTCTTAAAGCAAGGAAGAACTTGGGGATTATTATGGATTTGTAGAAGATTATCTAATAACAATTGATAGGGGAGAATTGTAAAGGGAAGGATAATATTGATTCAAGTTTTCTTTTTACTTATTAAGAAGATTTGATATTTGGAGGAATCTCCCTTCCCATGACATCTCTTTTCAGGCATATCTGTTCTCAGTAGAGATGACACATGAGTACCTTTCTGTCATTGGACAAATCACTCACAGCCCAGATATTCATATGGTTTTCATGCAGGAACGTCTGTCCAGAGTTTGGGCAAATCTCCCTTACCTTGCTGTTGGTGGCACAGCCAACAACTATGCAAGTTTTCAGCTGGTATGAATATTCCTGAGAAGACTGAATTCTCTTTGTATCAGAGAAGCTCAGTGATGTCCCGCGGTAACATTTGATTCCATTTCGGAGAAGAATATAGTAAATAACAGGACCTGAAAGAGGCAAATAAATGTCCATATTTGTGTGTCACAATCCTCTGAATTATTTGCGAACACTTTTAACTCTAAGCATTCTAAGGAAATGGGGTAAAATGCCATAATTTGATTTTAATTGCTATTATATTGCTGTGTTCAAGGAAATCTAATTACAGTCACTCTATGGAGAAGATGCATTCTTGCATTCTTGACATAGATAATCAAAGAGTCATTTATGTTTATTTCCCTTCATTCCCAAACAAACTTACTTCCAATATTAAAAGTATTTTTGTCTCCCTTAACTAGCTTTGCTTATATGAAGGGAACTCAGACATATGCTGGATTTTTTTTTTTTTTTTTTTGGCTAAAAGCGTATGAGAGCTATTTCACAAAATGATCATTTGGCATATAGCTAAAGTTCCCTTTGTCAGAAAATAATTTTTAGTGGTTAGATGATGCATGCCAATTAAATGCTGGTTGTGACTCATTTCAATTTTCTTATGGATTTATGGGTTATGTTATTTCTATTTTAAAAGTAGCTTAATACCCTTTGATCGTATAGGTTTCCTCCAATTTATCACTATTGCATCTTCACAATTATTCACTTTGGTCTTCCAGGGGGGGCTCACTCCCTGAGGCATTTCTTCTTTTGTGCTGGCCCTTATGGCTTTGCTAAGCCCTTGTCCATGGCTATTCCACACAGAGACGCTATACTCATATGTTGTGTAGGGCTCCAGGTTCACATCTGGAAAGAGAAATCAAGCAGTAAGGGTTAAAAAAAAGTTTTTTAAATCATTATATTGAAAATGAATATCAAATCTTAAACATTTAAGTAGATGGTGTCACTTTTAGGTGGCGTAAGAAAAAAACAAAGGATAAAACAAAGACAAACTTCAAAACCTGCCCTTGAAAATGGACCATGGATCTGTGGCTTTCAGATGAGGAGGAGAAGAAGAGAGCACAATCAATGCTGGTGGAAGGTTCTGGGTGCCTTGCTGCTGGGAGGGCTCTACCTGAGGGGGGAGTACTATCCTGTCAAAATATAAATTATTATAGAAATCCAAAAGCTTATATTCAATCTCTGTTTTCTCAGGTAAGACAGTATCAGTGTGTCCCCAGATCTCCCTTGTGTCCTGCTCAGGGATTTCCTGGTTAAACAGTACATTTCCCAGTCTTTGTTGCAGCTAGGTATGGCCACAGACAGGATTTTTCATTTTTTTCTGTATGCAATATGGCAACACTCATTCAATGCATTTATTAAGAGCCTGCATTCAAACTTTTGAGGGAAAGAGTGGGGTTCATTGAAAATCCAATGATGATATACCATAAAGGACACACAGCTTATTCATTTCTCTGCTCTGTTTTCTCGGATCAATTTAAAAATAGCATACCTTTATTTAAAGGTAGACTCACAAAACTTAAATGACTAACTTTGAAAAAATTGACTCTTTCACTAGCTGGCCCACAGCTATGATGGAATTAATGGAGGGTAGGTGAAGAAAGCGATGCTGTCAGAATGAAATCAATCTGCATTTTCTGCAGCTTTTCACTATTACAATGGAGCCATGGGCATGTGGCTCACTTTGTTACCTGCAAAGGAGAACGTGTCTGCACTTCCAGCACAAAGAGTCTCTTCGGCAGATGAGCACATTTCTTCGATTGACGCCTTCCCTGTGGAATTTCCAGGCTCCCTTCTCATAGCACAGAAGTGGCTGGTAACGTGGAAGCCGCACCTGCTGCAGTGTTCTGTGCCTGGCGTAGAGGCTGAGCAGACAGTCCCACGCACTCTGGTCTCCTAAGTCAATTAGGAGAGGGAGGAGGGGGTTATAAATTTTTATTTAGACATAGGTGGGGTAGGTTTTTACAACCTTCAAATGAAATTTTCATCTGCCACATTCAGAAAAGGAAATCTCAAAATTCATAAAAAGAAATGAAGGCAGTTAATATACTAAAGAGAGCAGTTACTTTCAAGTGACACAGACTTGGATTCAAAATCCACTTTTTCTACTTACTAGTTCTGTGACCTTGAGCAAGTCACTTAAACTCTCAAAGACTCAGCTTGCTCTGAGAGGATGGAAATTAAATTTATCAGGCAGATTTGTTGTGTGAATCAAATGAGAAAAAACCTAGAATGGCCTAACAACAGAGGTTGTTATTTTATATTATTACCTTGACACTTTGCTAACCAAGTTTTAGAGAAAATAAAGAATGTGAAACATTTGAGAATTTGTACTTCTTGTGCTGTTGAGAAGGTGGAAACTCTAAGAAGAATTTCTTATCCAAGCTTTAGAAAATTAAAATAATTTATGAACTTTCAGTGTAATTATTATCATTTATATTTGTAAACTTTTCTCAGGTGAATCTTTGGATAATTTTTATTGCTGTTTTAGACAAGCATAAGTGTGTTCTAATCTCAGAAAACGAAATATGTAATCACCCTAAATTGGAGATGTAAATAAGGCAATATTTTTAAAATGCAGAACTCTACATTTCCTTTCCTCTCTATATAGATAGCATAATGTATTTTAAATAATTATCCTATTTAAAATTGATCTACATTCAACCTCTCTCATACATAAAATAATTTATTCACCCAAAGTCGGTAAAAATAAATATGCTTCAGAAAAAATTCTAGGACTTTCATTTAAAGATGGTGAATTGAACACCTGCATTTATCTTCATTTCCTCCTATTTTCTTGCTTATTAGCATATTTTTATTAGCAAATTTTTATTGTGGTGATATTGGTGTAGAGGACTATAATTCAACATTTGTGCCACTACATTTTGATCACCAAAAGTCTATTTTCCACTCATCCATCTCTTCTTAAGACCCAGTGAAATGATAAAGGACAGAGAAAGTTAAAAGAAAGCGGATGGCAACTACCGCACACTGGGAAGATTCAAACTAACATAATCTGGAAAAAAATGGAAACTTTGGCAACATAGCGTTGGATACATTTCTTTCATACAATTGTCTAATTAAAACTGTGATGAGTCAGACTAGTGACAAAAATTTAGTAGACAAATAACTATGTGGGTAGGGTGGACCTTCTGTATAATTGTTTATTCCATGAAGAACCTATTCTCTTCAATGATCTGATGTATTATCTCAATAAATCAATTCTTCAGAGTGTTTGCTGGGGACCTAACAAGCTCCAGAGGTATTTTATATCCCAAATTTTAGAATGTTCACACAACCATCATATAGTTGCCTCAGTCAGCAAAAGCCCTTCCATCACCTACAAGCCAAACCCCCATTTTTAGTCAAGTCCTAATGACAAATTACTGTGGTGCATGGTACGGTGTTTGTTTTTTGAGAGTCTGTAATCTGTCCTTAAGATGGTAGGTTTCTGGAGTTCCTGGTCAGTTTTGATGCTAACAAACTGGACATACAGTAGCTCAGCACATAAAGACAAATGATACACCCACAGGACTATTCAGAGTGCTTTGATTCACAGAGGCCTCTGCTCTTCTTGCACTGTCAACACAACAGTTGAGTGAACCTCCTAGATGTAAGGTCTCTATCAAAGTCCCCTTAATCTTCATTCATAGGACCCCTAGACATGAAATGGAACCATGTCTATACCACTGGAGACCAGCTGCTTCTTTTTGCACAGACTTCAACCTACACTGTTCCGAGGTGCTGGGTAAAACAGCTAATCATTATTAATTCCTTTAGAATTCATTGCAATAACATCAATCATAGCAAACTCATTCGGTATTAATATGGATGTAATGTGAAAATGAATAATGCACACAGGAGTTTTTATATTCCTATTTTAGAAAAATAGTTATGAACAATGTATTTCTCTTTCCATTGTCAAATCAGCGCTTCTGAGAGGTTTTCTATCAATTACCTTCATCATCATTCCAGTTGAAATCTTGTCAGAGCAAACATATTTCAAAGGATTATATCCAACTCCATTACAGCATCTCTGGCTCTCTGGAATGAGCTCGGTCTCACAGCATTTTACTGGCATTGGGTCATTCTTTTTAACATGTGCTTTAGACTCTCCACTGGAAGCTGAGCAGCATATGGTATCTGACATATTCACATAATCCTGCCCACAACAGAACATCCCTGCAACAATAAAATGTTATATATGAATATGAAATAAAAAAGGGAAGAAAACTGAGGTTGCTATAAAGTTCAGTATAAAAATGTCAGACTCAGACAGTTGCTGAAATGGTACACTACCTAAGGTGGCTTTGTCTACCAAGGTGATTTAAATGTGCAGTGAGGGGTCCTTCTTACCAAGAGCAGCAAACACTAATTAGGTATAGAACTCACAAGAGCAAATGCTCCAAAATCACTCAGTGGGCCAATTAAAGTGGCCATTAAAATAAGACTTGGTCTTTGCCACGAGGGTTGCTGCCCTTTTGTGAGGAAAATGTTTGGTTGCAGATGGAGGAAGAGTACCACTGGAAGGACTCAGAAGAAATCTCCAGAAATTCACAAAGAAGGAAAGGTCACCCGAGCCCCTGGGTAAGAGGTCAGACAGAGTGGTGGGGGAGCAGCACCCTGGAACTGGTGAATCTGTGCTGGAGGATGTCTTGCCCATCTTTGCTTGGCTTTCTCTAGAATGCAAACAGTTGCTCCTTGAGGTTCCATTCTTTCTTCATGAACTACATTAGGTCTTCAAAACCAATAGAACATGCTCACTGATCTGGTGAGTGAGTCATTGGGTCATTCTCTTCTAGACATAGGCATGAGTTTGGGGGCAGTGGCAGAAAGCCTTGGAGGGAGGATCATTGATCTCCAGAGTTGATGGAAGACCCAATGACCCATGTGAACAAGGTGCCAAGCAGGCTCCTTTCTCCCATCAAAACCAGCTTAACTGTCTCTGTTCAAATCATTGAGATCGTGCTACAGAAGAGATACAGCAGAAATTTAGACATAAAAGCCTGAATCAATAAACAATACTCTAGAGTCAGATTAGGCTAGAAATTAAGGTGCCTGTACCCCATGTCACAGTGCTATCATATGAGAATTTATATCCAGTGATAAAGCAACACAATACAATGAATGATTTATTTTAATTAGAATTTTGTTTATTTATTATTAGTCCTGACTGATAACATAAAGAACCTCAACTTCAGAGAGCCCTGGGGTCCTGAATTGTTTAATCTGGTCCTGTACAAACACCTCCATTATGAAAGACACTCTATTAATAGACTGAGTTTTAAGTGCTTTTTTTTTAAATCATTGAAAGTAGACACTGGTTGGCACATGCTTTAACAAAGATGTTTATCCACGCATGACTTCAAAGAGCCCTGTCACTGATATTTCTACTTAAAAATAAAAAGCTCCCAATATTTAACAATTTTTACTTATGATTCATGATATACATTAATCACAATTGAGTTTTGACATGCCATGTATACCTAAACAAGGTAATTGTTCAAAGTAAGAGGCTTAAAAGGAAGCTGTTTTCTTTGGTGCTTTATTAATAATAAATTTTAGGTGTTTCAATGTTTGCAGGAAAAGTTCTCTCAAATAAGTACACCCAGCAGGGGTACACCACAGATTATCACTGCAGTATGAGTTTTGATTATGATGTGTAAAAAATCATACACAATCACAAATGACAAAGAAAAAATCCATTGCTTCAGGTTTTATGATGTTAGGCATTTTTCTCTTGCTTTTCTGATAAGCTATTTAAATACAAGCTCGGGTTCTTTGTTGCCATTTGTTTTCTGTAACAGTTTTCTTAAGTTAATGCATGTTTCTTTTTTAAGGAGCAATCAAAACTGGTCCTTTAGAGAGCAGGATACACTCTTCCCTTTCACTCCCAAATGGCTTTATGGCTTCACCAAGCTTTCCATATAAAATCAAAATGCAGACATTGATCTAATTCAAAACTTCTAATCAGCCATTGGACTGCTCTAAGGGACTTTTGACAGTTTGACTAAAATTTCGGTAATGAACTGTTTTTACACTAGCAAAAAGGTACGCTTTCTTTCACAAAGAACTTCATCTTTGTTCCACTGAATTAAAATTTTCAGCCAAGATTTCACTCACATAACAAGAAGTGACTCCCTTTCTAGTTTCTTTGGTAAACCATTACTTCTTTAATTATTATCAACCTTGTTCCAGTGTGATAAATTGCTAATTACTTAATACCCTAATCAGCGTTCATTCTTTGCACAGATAAACTGTGACAGTGCCATTAATTTAAATAGTAATTTCACTTAATGGCCAGAACGGCACACCAGATTTTTATGCAGCATTTTCTGAAGACTGCATCCATCACTGCAATATTCTGACATAAAGATGTCTGACGTGCACTAACTCACTTAGGGAGAGCAGATGTTGCGGCACAGAGTTTGGTAGTAATTCCCATAGTGCATCACTTCAGCATGAATGAGCTGCAAATTCAGAGACAGACAATCTTCTAAAACTGCACTGCAGTAACTTTTGACCCCTACCTAATTTATCACATGTAGCACTTGACTTCTGAACTTTGACACGCAAATGCACAATTTTAAATATGCTCAAAGAAAAACAAAATAGGTTGTGGATCATGGATTGATCTGTTCTTCCAGAAGCTCTTCATTAAATCTGTACAAAGGTAAAGAGCTTCTTTGAATCAGATGCAGATGTTATTAAAGTGGTACTGAACACACTGATCTGGGAGGTGTTTACTTCTGAGATGAAATGACACGAACTATCTTTGCAAAGAGTGGACATAGCCAGGGGGTTAGTTCCCTTGCATTGGCTACAAAGGATAAAATAGTGGAGGAAATAATTTTTTTCTCAAGTTATTAAGAATACTTCAAATGTGTTACCCAATCTAACAATGTCCAGGACTGAAAAAGGAAACAGCTATAAACACATAGGCCTGAATTATTTCTTAATTATTCAATGTGCAAAATAAGTGTTCTATTTTTTCTTTAAAGGACCAAGAATCTAATTTTGCAAGGGTGAAAATCAGAATCAGGAATGTGACAAATCACTGTGACATTTTGAAGTAGATCATGGGAGCCACATTTGAAGGGAAAGGATTATATTTTAGGGCTAGAAGAATGAAAACAAAGGTTTGGGATTAGTCATTCTTAGGACCAATTTATAAAATCTGCAGGGCGTGAGCGAGAAGCAATGTGTACCTGTCTTCACCAGCAGGTGGCTCTATGACTGCCACCAAAAAGTTGAGGAAAAAGGGTAAAGTAAAAATGCTCCCCAAATCTTGGCAATGTATTTTACAACATTTATACATTGCACATTTTGAAGATTCTTGATGCCATATAGAAATTTTCCTGGAAAATATTCTTTCAATGTGATTCCTTACACCATGGATATCAGTGCTGGGTTTCTCTCATTGTGATCTCCCCAAATCCCACCTCATGTCACAAACAGTGGGTGTCATTCACTCTACTGAAGTGTGATTCTATGACATTTCAACTCCGTATTCTATTTGCAAAGAATTTCCAAGCTGAGTGTCTTACCAAAAGCTGCGTGGGTATCATTTATGACAGACATAGGCAGAGTGTTCCAAAGGTCACAATCAGGTTCTCATGACTGAAGCAAATCCTCTCCTCTTTGCTAGAGAGGCTTTAATTTTTATCTTTTCAGACTAAGGTATCTAATCAAGTCCAACCTTAGATTCATGGCATAATGGCATATTGATAAATCATATAAGCAAACACAAACAGTGGAAGAGTCATTGAGAGGTTTAAAATATATTCGAAGAAAAGGGCTAAGCATACGTATCCCCTGAAACGAGGAGCATGACTTTCATCTCGAGGTACCTGTCTAACGCGCCTTCACAACGCACCTGTCCAGAGAGAGCACTAAAACATAAACGCCAGCCCAGCGCTTCTGTTCCAACAGCATCTGTTAATTCACTCCATTTATAAAATACATATTGACAAAGACAACTGAACTGGGACCAGGGAGATTTGATTTGGTGTGAGAAAGTCAATTCAATGTGATTTTGTTAAAGGGCTCCTGCAGGCAAATAAAAGAGTTTAAGTAATAAAGTACATAAAGAGATGTTTTACGAGCCAGCCTGGTCTCATGGCAGGCAGACAATGCCAGGCAGCGAGAGGCCAGCCTCAGGAAAAATATTTTGAGATCCAAACCCTCGTGTAGCAGGTACGGTGTTACTGGGTTGAGGAGAAAAAGGGCCATATGGATATTCTGGAAGGTCACTGAGGTCACAGTCATTAGGGGCGACAGGAGGGAGCAGCTGAGAGAGGAAAAAGACACTTGGAACATGTCTATTTTCAGTGAAAGCTACAGGAAGGTCAAAAGAATAAAAGAGATTTTTTTTTTTTCCTTTTCAAGGTAGCATTCCTCCTGTCCACCATGATCGCCAGAGCTGCGGAACTTTAAGGAAGAACCGTGGAGCTGATCCGACTCACAGGCGCTGAGGAATGCCTGAATGTGCTTAAGAAATGTTTCCTCATCTTGGAAGGTCACACTGAAGTAAATAAAAAAATGATTCTGAAATTGAGGTTCGTGGATAGATTTCAAGGGTGTATGAAATGGCAGCCAATTTTTGTGTGTATTCTATTTGAATTTTTTTATGCTAATGTAATTTTATTTGAAGTGAGGGTTCATGACTTTCAAAGGAAGAGATTGCATGCTTCCTCCTCCCCCCCCAAAAAAAATTAAGGGCCACTGTCCTAGTGGCCAGTAACCTGCTCCATTTCTTAGATCAGGTTCTGATGTCTCTTTCCTTTTTTTTTTCACTACCATTCTGCCACACGAATCTACTTTATCTCTTTAAATCACAGTGCTTATGATGGCTTTGACTCTTCCCTGAGTAGAAAATAACTCAAAACAAATTTTAGAGCATACCAAAGTTGTAAACTATTATCAGAAAATGATAGCTCAATGATTGAAGCAATCCATTGACAATTTTCTATATGATGATATAAATTATAGAAAGAGAAGTAACTCAGAAATCTATGGGAAAAATTCTTCTCGCTGATATATACATAAAATAGTAACATCAGAATAATATACAACTGAAATTCAGTGATATATAATAAAGAAATATATAAAAACTGGTTAGCACTATTGTCAATTCAACAAGTATTTAAGACAAGAAGAATTAAAATACCCTTAAATCTTAGAAAGTCTCTGGGTAGACATTTCTGCATATTTGACAAGAATCCTAAACATTTACATAATATTACAATGAGTTGTGAAGCTTAAAGCCACATTTTAAAAATTAATATAATTAAAAAATGTTTTGACTCACCATGAGACAAGTAGGACTGGATTATCTATTTTCTTTATAGATAATTACAGTGCAAAGTCACTGTCTTTTGAAAAGTTTATCATGTCTATAAGTTCAATATGTCTGGAAAAGGAGGGATGTCAGAAGCTATATAATCTAAACATACTCTTTTATGCTAGTGGGGATATCCTAGGTTTCTTTTTAGATTTGTAATTTTGGACATTTATTTTCACTTTTAAATAAATATTTATTGTATTTTGTCCTGTTTTCAGCATTTGGTTTTCTTTTTTTTTAAGGAGGGGCCCCTAAATTGTGTAACTTTCAGAGACACAAAAATCTACCTCTCACAAGCAATGTAATCTCGAGCAAGTGTCTGATCTCCATGCCTCAGTTTCCTTATTTTAAAAAATATGAATAATAATAGTGCTTATCTTTTAAGATTATTAAAAAGATGAAATGAGGTAAGAATATATAAATCATGGGTTGTAGCCTGCTAGATAGTAAGTACTCAATTGATGATAGTAATAGCTATCAATTTAGGATTATGGCCGGCACTTGCTAGGTTGCTAGGAAATGCTCCCTTAATTCAGAGTTAACACATTCATGTTAATTTTTGTTTTTGGTTTTGTTTGTGGTGGGCACGACACTATTCAAGAAGAAAGCATTTTGGTGTTTTTATGAAATTCACTGCATGCACGTAAATAATAGGAGACTACATTTTTATTTTCTATACCACATGTACCTAATTGTTTCAGAAGATAGAATTGCTGTGAGCTTTAATTACTTATTTGTTTTATACCTAGGGCACATTTTCCACCTCTCTGCTTCTCAGATTCTGCACCTGCTGAAAGGTAGACTAGAGTTCCTTACCTGGAAGATGCCTGTATACCACACTCTCTTGTTCTCCACCACAGCACTCCAAATCTTTGTTCACAATCTGTCCACTACAGCACTGCTGGCGATGGCCATCGTGGAGCCTCCCAGCACAGCAAATCTGGTTTCCTGAGGAGGAGAACGGCATTCGGCCACAGCAGGAATCGCTGATGCCAGTGGAAACCCGATTATGTTGTTCATCTGGACAGCATACTTCACCTGTCAATTTAGGGCAATAATAACCATTGCATGATTGCATATAAAAATATGCTTTTGATTCACAACTGAATTTTAGCACAGTCATCTTGCAGATGCCAACTGGTTGACAGAATTACCGGAAAGAATATGGTCGTATGATAGTCACAAAATCTCAATGCAGCTTCAAGGGTTTTGAGTTAAAGATGTAGTAACATCCTAGTCCCTTATTTAGGTTTTCTAAATTCCTGCTATAAGTGAGACCATCCGGTATTTTTCTTTTTCTTTCTGGCTTATTTCGCTGAGCATAATCCCTTCCAGTTTCATCCATGTTGCTGCAAAGTGCATGAGTTTATCTTTTTTGATTGCTGAATAATATTCTGTTGTGTATCAAGGGGGGTGGGAATTGTATGGGGACTATAACCATGATGAAAATGCATACATTGTGCAAAAATGAAAAATGATGTAAAATATATATAAAATAAAAAAAATGTATAAACTTGTGTGTCTACTCACATACATACACACTAATTTAGAGGTAAGACTATGTTGAGTGTTTCCTCTCTGACCCTTAATAAACGAGAACAATAAGTCTAGAGTTAAGGATTAAGTTGGTTGACAAATAGTTTTCCATCTATTGAGTGTAATCTTTTTTTTTTTTTTCTCTTTTTGGAAAGTAGGGTGGTTTCAGAAATCAACACTTGATGGATTTAAGTTTCTTTAACCAAACTATATTGATTGAACTAAACAATATTCCAAGAGGGTGTTGAATTAAGAGAGAGGAAGTAAAATTACTGTATTCAAGTCAGCACACTGGTGCTTTCCTGGGCTATGGCGGATGCTGAGGTTTACTAATGTAGTGACACCCATAATCCCTTTTTCAAGATAATCTGGGAAACAAGAGCTAAGAATAAAAGAAACTTTTGCCTAGTGCCTTGGGATCAAAGGATTTAAATATTTTAAATGTTAATAGTGAGAGTTTTTTTTTTAATGCAGAAGCTTCCAACAGACAAAAAAAAAAAAACCACTCTAAAAGACAGAGAAAAAATTAAAAATGCTTCCCTTAAGGATACCTTGGGAAGGACTAATGACAACTTAAGTGGATCTAAAATCCTAACGTCACCTTTCCTCTCTAGCTTATGACCCACTACTGAATTGATTGCCTCATGACCCCGAGTCCTGACTTCCTCCTCCTTCTTGCCTATTTCCTATTCCTCCCTCCTTCCTATTTCTCTTTTTGCACCTTCTATAGACCCTTTGCCCTCCCTCCACTGCCACTTCTTAAACATAACTTTCTCCCTGGACAATATCCTTTCATTATATCTTATAAGGTATGTGAGTATGATGAGCAACCTATATAATATAGTTAATTGGACTTCATCATAATTAAAAAGTGTTTTGTATCAAGAGATTATCAACTTATGAAAAGGAAACCTGTGACAGAAAATATTTGTAAATCATATAGCTGATAAGGGATTAATATGCAGGTACATAGAGAATGCTTACTTTCTCAAACTCAACAACAAAACACAAAGAACCCAATTAAAAAGGGGAGAACACATACGCAAGAATAGATCCTGACAGAACAACCTCTCTGTTCAGGTCCCCAGGCTGGTCCATCCATAACTGACCCTGACACAAAAGAGAGAAATCTCCATGCAGTTGCACAAGTTTCATATCTAATTGATATTGGGTCTACTTTATTTCCCATAATTTCTACTACTTTTATGATACTCTTAACTAGGAATAACCAAAGTGTCTCAGGGTTGAAATTTCAAATCACTTTCAGTCTCTGCCTTTCTCTTTCTTGAATCAACACTTTTCTGTTTGGTCATTTCATTCCAGTGCATCTGTTGGGAGGAGGCCTACTTTGTAAATGTGGTGTTATATAATTACTTCACACATATGACATCATATTTTTCTGGTATATTGGTAGAACATAAAGGAACTATACTGTATTAAAATTATATTGAAAACTGTTATAGAAGACAACAAAAATGCCGTACTTAGAGACTATACTCATTATTTCAGATAATATTTTATATGATCACACTGTAATAAAGAAAAAAAACACTCTATGTAGTGTTTTGATGGTTTGATACCAGATAATTAGTGGGTAGGATCGTGGGCTCTGGAGCCAAAGTCTCAGGTTTTACATCCCATTTCCTTCACTTTTTAGTTGTTTGCCCTTCATTAAGTTACTCAGACTAGGTAATATTAGTAGGAGATTAATGTCTGTTGTCCACTGAGCTCCTGGGCTCCAAAGCTTGCCCAATTGTTTATGTGCAAGTAGAAGAAAAGCTGCATAGTCATTATGAGCAGATGAGTAAAGGGTAAGAATGAACATCCTTTAAGTGACAGAAGATGGTTTCCAATGAATCACTGTACAGCAAGGGCTTGCGTGTCCACTTCAGAGCCTAGAAAGGGACAACCAGTTTAAAAAATCAGATCCTATAGACCAAGGATCCTCACTGATTATTTTTATTCTATAAAACCAAACAATTCTTTATCTAAGCTGACTTTTCAAAATTGACCTGAGTTAACCTATCATGCCTAAGCAATGAAGACTCCATAAAAACACCAAATGGAAGATTCTAGAATGCTTTCAGTTTGGTAAACATGAGATTTGGGCATGGAAGTTTCCTGTTCTTTTCTTGATCTATGTATCTCCTCCAACTGACTGCGCCTGAATACTATCCTTTGTATTAAATAGGTGATATAGTGAGTAAACAGCTTTACTGAGTCCTGTGAGTCTCTCTAGTACATCATTTGAAACTGAGGAGGGCAATTGGTCAACTTCTGATTTGCAGCCAGCTAATCAGGCATTTGAAGTGAAGTCTTAAGTATTGAATCCTTAACCTATGGAATCTTCTGCTATCTACAAGTAGACAATGTCAGGCACTTTGCTGGTATTCAGGAATAACCACCACACACTCCATATAGAAATTAGGTCTGAGCGCCAAAACACTACCCTGATAGTCACTGTCTCCTCCCACCCAACAGCCTTGGCACTCACTGACTTGCTCTTCATCACAATCCTGTATTTTATACATGGATTCTCACCATTTGTAAGCTTTGGAGACTGGATTCTTTCACTCAGCATTGTGTTCACATTTTTGGTATGTGGCAAGAGTTTGTTCCTTTTCATTGTTGAGTAGTATTCCTTCATGTGGATGTACCATGTGTCCATTTACCTCTGAGATACATTTCAGCTATTTCCAGTTTGCTACCATGAGGAATAGAGCTGCTGCAAATATTTGCCTGCAAGTTTTATGTAAACAGAAGTTTTCATTTCTTGAGGGAAAATACCCGTATGGGCAAGGCATACTCAATTTTCTCTCAAGAACTGAATTCCTACAATGCTGTATAGGGGCAACTGTTGATTGATGCTAAAATTGGGGAAGTTTGGTATCTGTAAGTAGAAGGGGACTTAGTGATTTTTTCCCGATGATTTTACCAGAGCCAGTGAAGGAGAAATAGGCTTACAAATGAATAGTAAAGTCATTGCATTTACTTTCCTATTGGTGAAGGGATTTTTCTGTTTATTCTGAAATGCAACTACCACCCTTATTTCTTTAATCTCCACAGAGAATGCAGTGCCTCTTATTGGCAAACTTTTCTGGGTGTGTACAATGGTTGAGGAATAACAGCTGCCATATCAAATGTGAGAGCAAGCAAGTGTGAATTTATTGAAGCAAGAGGAAAGAACTGACAGCAGGAGGGGGTCCAAGGGAGGATGCCAGTTTATTCCAGCCTGCCCATGACTATAGCCTGTCAGATTTCCTGTTGCCCAATGTGCCGACTACTGATTAGGTACTAGGTGGTTGGGGAGTTTCGTGGTGCTTGTTTTTCTGTTCCCCAATTATCCTGTAACCCTATTTTACTCTAGGTGGTGGCTAGCTCAGCAACATTTTAGCAACACACTCTGTTTTTCTGAGAGATGTTTTGTTTGTTCTTTCCCTGTATTGTTAAAAATCACTGTCCCGTGTCTCAGCCTTTCCTTTTCCTTCAGTCCATGCAGTACCTATCCCTATCAACATCCTGTGCCACATCCAGGGGCAACTTCTGTTAACTAAATGTCACTTGGGACAACTGTTAGCTTTGAGGAAAATAGTGGACACCTTTTTACAGGGAGAACTAACCATTTTTTGAGAAAGCCACTTTTGTCTATCACAAATGTTAATTGGTTTAAATATTTTAGCATATTTCCCTGAATCCCTCAGAATCTCATTCAGCTGCTGACAGAAGAAAAGCCTCCATAAAAAGGATGTGGATTATATCAATGAGAAGTAAAACTGATTTTTTCCCTCAAAAAAGGGCTATTAGACATAAGATACAAGGATCAGTCACCTTCTCATTAACCTCTTAAAATGAATCTATTTCAGACAGGCTTGAAAATGTTTTCTCTCTAAAAGCTACCATGCAGTCTTAACAGTTAATTGTTATTCTTATCAAAGAATGACCTGCATTAACATTTAGCTTGAGGTCATTAGCATATTCATATAGAAAGGGGGATGGAATGAGCATTCTTTTCTCTGTAGCTCTTTGTTTGGGGTGTTAGGGAGTTCTGAGAAAAAATAAAGTAAATATTATTAACCAGTATTTCAGACCTATCTATACTCACTTTAGTGGTGCACTGGACCACAGCTATTGAATGTTAATTACATTTTGACAGAGGATGGGGTCACTACACTTTCTTCATGTAAATGGTGTTAAGTTTGCTAACAAAGACCAGGGGCTGAAGACAGAGATCCCAACACAAATTCTTCATCTAGGTGCTTGGAGATGAAAGACTAGCAAATCACAAAAGGCATGAGATTACATTTTTTCTCCCTGACTCCATAGGAGGCATTACAAAACTTTAAAATGAACTACCTCAAAGGAGTCTGAAAGTGGGCATGCTCAACAGTTAGGTAGATATTAAAATGCTTGAGGCCTGAGTTATATAGTTTTAATATGGAAGTCATGGAAAGCTTAAAAACTTCTCTTGTAAAAGCTACTTAGTTAAAAATTTTGTATACCTTTGAGTCTCCAAGGTTGATCTCATTTTTTTAGGAAAAAATGTAAAATGAAATTAGAAAAAAGTAGACTGTTAAGATCAAAATCTGATACTTTGTATTGTCATTAACTGTTACAAGCAAATATTTCTAAAGTTAATAGATGTGTTAGATGCAGCCAAGTATTTTCATTAATTTTAAGGGATAGAGGATATTTTTCAGAGTTTAAATAGTTCATTGCAAATCATAACATGAAAATTTTTTAAGAAATTTAGAAATTAAGACACTATTATTTGGTCCAATGTCAGAGAAACAGAGAAGTCTAGTATGGTCTGTTGCTGTGAAGAATAGTAAGACTGCAACAAAAGAAATTTTCCATCTCATCTGTGAAATTATTATTTTTAAAGCAATGTTTTTTTGCAGGGCTAGGAAAAGATAAAATAAGGTTAAAACCTCCTAAAATGTAAATTATTTGAGAGTAATGCATTTAACAGCATTTGATGAGTTGTTAACACTCTAATATTTTTGTACAAAGAAGTCAATACTTGTCTACAAAATCATTATTTTTATTTTCACCATGTGTTTTCTTATGTGGAAAATTGATTTGAATAAGAGTTACTCAATTATGAAAGTATTTTTGTGTGAGAATCAAAAAGCACACTCCTGTTGTAAAGACAGACTTTTCTACTAATTTTAAGGGAAAATTAGAAAAAAAGAGAGGATCTCCACCTTGAATAAACTTAGAGCATTAGTCATTTCACCTTCATTTTCTGCTCAAGTGTTTTGCAAAGGAGATACTGGGTGAGACCATTTCTCATTTCACATGAAACCCAAAAGATGTACTGAACAATAACTGACTGAACAAGATATTTGGCACAGATTTCTTGGTAAATTAGTTATCTCAAAGCATCAGCTTTCTTCAGGCATTTGAGTACTTAACTTTCTTTTCTTTCTCCCATATCTTTATTCTATACTTTTAAAACAGGTACAAGCATTAAACTTAGGTGGTAGGAAAAAATAATTAGTATTCTCAATAACTTTTCCAGGATAAGGAGTAATAGACAGTGGCAGTAATGAAGACACTTAGAAGTCTGGAATAATCCAAGACCAGAAATAACAAATGTAGGTGAGGACATGGAGAAAAAGGCACCATCTTACAGTTTTTCTTTGACCTTTGATACACTGGTTCAGCTCTTATGGAAAGCAATATGGAGGATCTGCCATATGACCCAGCAATCCCACTATCTACCCCCCAAAATTCAAAAACACTAGCTTGAAAGGAAATCTGTACTCCCACATTTATAGCAGCACTATTAGTGACAGCCATACTGAATACTGAAGATGAGTGGATCAAGAGATGTGGTACATAAAGACAAGGGAATATGCCTCATTCATCTAAAAAGATAAACTCATACCACTTGGAGCAACATGGATGGAGCTGGGAGGGCTTATACTAAATGAAGTAAGTCAGAAGGAGAAAGATAAATACCAGATGGTATCACTAATAGGTGGGATATAGAGAAATCAAAAGGTCAAAGACAAACTGTAAAACCAACCTTTGAACACCGACCATAGATCTTTGGCTTTTGGAGGGCAGAGAGAAAGAGCGGTGAAAACAGGAGAATGGGGGAGAGCACATGATCTAAGGTGGAGGATAATGGGTGCTCTGGTTGTGACTATACTTGATGGGGGTAACCCTATACTATCAAAACATTAGCAAGGGATATGAAATAATGACATTTCAGTAACAACAAATAAATTAAAAAGAAATTGAATTTTTAAAAATATAAAAATGATGTGAACATGTTTTGGTTTTGTAAGAAGCCATAGGCATTGAGAAGAGCTGGGGTTTTGGAGAGACACACTGAGATTTGCATTTCGACTCTCTTGCTCCCATCTATGTGAATCTGGGTAAGTTGTGACTATCCTCTCTGAACCTATTTCCTTATCTGTAAACTTAAAATACCATCTCCTACACCTGTGAAGATAAACAAAGCAGTATAAGTAAAACTTTTAATATTTACCCTGACAGAAACTTGGTGTTTTATATATGCCAGTGGTTATCTTTTTTGTCAATTACTTTTGTTGGATATTGTTGCGTGTGGCTGAAATGGAAAAATGTCTTATTCAGTTGGTTGATAGAAAGAAAATAAAGATGAGGAGAGAAATTTTCTATTTGCTATTCTTTGCTGTGTCCCTCCTCCTGGACCTAAGAGCAATTAGTGGATTCCAACAGTGGACTAATCTCAGATAAATGGAATTTGTGGCTATAATCCATTCAGAATAGAAATTGAAGAAATGGAGAATAGTCTCATGGAGTGAAATACTTAGAAATACAGAATTCACAATGAAAATGTTAGTCATGTGAATAAGATAAAGTGGGTTATGCAGACATCCAGATATATTTCTTTATGTAGCAGATATCACAAATCCCTGTATTCACTCTCTATTTTTTACCTAGCCTGCTTAAATTCCAACAAAGCTGAAAAAAGAAGTAATACTTAGAGCTGACCATTCATTATCTATTTGAGGTTCTATTTTTCTTGGACTTGAAATAGTTAATTCACATGAGACATGTCTTTGCTTTTTCTGGTTCCCAAGATTACTGAGTACAGCTGGGGATAATCCTTACCTGGTAGGTTTCTAATATAATACGCAGAGCAACAGTGATGATTTGGCTGTGCCTCTTGTATTTGGCCACCACCACAAGATCCAGGTGATTTAGAAACAAATGGGATATACTTGTCTTCACAACAGTGGCATCCAGATTGGGAGTCATAGAGATCTCCATTACAACAAAGCTGAAAGTTGGAAATTGGTTTAATGAAATAGAAGTTTAATAAAGAGAATCACATCCCATCTCCCAAGAAGATATAAGAATGGTCAACAGGTACATGAAATGATGGTACTCAATGTTATTTAGGGAAATGTAAATTAAAACCACAATGAGATCATGGAATAATAACTAAAAAAAAAAAATAACAATTGCTGGAAAAGATGTGGAAAAAAGGAATGTCATATAGGTGGGACTATAAATTGTTATGACCTCTATGGAAAACAGAATGGAGGACCCTCAATATTAAAAACAGAACTTCCAGATGGTTTAGTAATTCAATCAGAGGAAATGAAAATACTAACTCAGAAGATATCTGTGCTCCCATGTTCATAGTAGCATTTTCTATAAAAGTCATGACATGGAAACGACCAACGTGTCCACTGATACATGAAATGATAAAGAAGCTGTGGTGAATGTTTGTGAAATACATCAGACACAGAGAGAAAAATACAGTGTATTCTCACTTACATGTGTAATACAAAAAAAGTAAAAGAAAAATCTAAAAATAGAAAAGAGATCAGATCTATTGTTAGGAAGAGGATAGGGGGCCTCCCCGTTGGTGCAGCGGTTGAGCGCTGGGTTGCGAAGCTGCCTGCAGCCTCTGCAGCCTCCCCAGCTGCTCCCCGCCACCGGAGGAGGGTCCCACATGGCGCGCAGACCTCTCCTGCTGCCCGCTGCTCCCCTCAGCAGTGTGCTTCGGTCCTTCTGCCTGTTCTGCTCCCCGCTCTGGCTCTGGTGAATTCTCTCACCTTCCCACGCTTCTGACTGTACCCAGTGCATGTATAAATAAATAAATAAATCTTAAAAAAAAAAAAGAAGAGGATAGGGAGAGGGAGAATGGGAGAAAGTGGTGAAAAGACACAAACTTCCAGTTACTAGATTAATAAGTACTAGGAGTGTAATTTACAAAATGATAATAGTTAACACTGCCTGCCATCTCATATGTAGGAAAACAGATGAGAGTAAATGCTAAGAATTCTCATTACAAGGCGAAAATCATTTCCTTTTTTCTTTTCTTCTATCTTTTTTTTTTTGTATCTATAATAGAGGATGGATGTTAGCTGATCTATCATGGTAACCATTTCACAATAGATGTGAATTGAACCATTATGTGTATGTATTAAACTTACAGAGACATAAGTCAATTGTTCACTGTAAAATTGGGAAAAAAGGTATATATCATCATATGCCATATGATATAATTATTTTATAATAAAGCCTTGACTTGAGGTCAAATATAGCATTCTTGATAAAAATTAAAAGCTTTAAAAAATGTTTTTCCAGTATCATTCAAATTGTATAAATGTAATTTGATATAATGTAGCTTCTTTTTAGCCTTTAACCACACTTTGTGCTCTATTATAAAACACTACAAATATGAATGTCAGTGTTTCCTATGTAATGATGATTTAGAATTGTAAATGAACAATTTCCTTCATATATATGTTTTCATTTTTATTGACTCTTCAATTTGAAAACACCATATCTGTGGAAACTTGTCTCTCCTTAATTTTAGAGGTATGAATTGCATTTTCCTTATAATTTATATGATCACTTATTTACTTATTTATGAACCTCATCATATATACATATATATATGGCTAGATATAGATATACTATATAGATAAATTAAAATCTATATATTATTACAAATTTATATGGAAATGAAGTTTGAAAATCCCTTTGAACAGTGTGCTTTCTACAGGAGCTCTAGAAGAAATTATGTGCTTGAACAATCAAATAATTACTTGCATGCTTACTTGAGGTCTGAGAGACTAGCACTTTGTATATATAACAAACCAAGCAGGGACTAATGGCTGAAATGAAGCCTCAGAACCTAGACTTGGTTTAAGTTGGAAAACTGCTTTCTGTGGCAGGTAAAATCAACCATTATCTAAAGGTGTTTCTCTTTTTCCTTTTTGCTAATAGTTATTTCCAGTCTACATGAACATAACAATCAAGCTCAAGTATAATGTGGTGCTCCAAAGTCTTCAAAAAATTCACTCAGTATCTCATTCATGTATCAAATGTTATCGAAGACCCAAGAAACTGGACTCAATATCAAAGCTGATCTCTGTGATTCTTCATGTAGTCTCACTAAACCAATTGCAATGGATTTTTTCTGTTGTGTTTAGTTAAGCATCGAAGATTCAAAGGGATTCTAATTGCAAGGATATGGGTTGACACCTCTCCTCTTGATGTCTTGTTCTGTGTGAAAAGCAAACTTTGAAATTATGACCTATTTTTAAGAGTTAAGTAGAACATATTTTTATATATGTGTCTGGGATTTAGGAATGCTGGTCATTTTTTGCTTTCAGGCTGAAAAAACACATACCTCCCTTTTGATTTATAACCTCAACTCTTGCCTTGGTGGCATGATCTTAAAGCATTTATTAAAGTCCATTCATATACAGTATGTTTCTAGAAAGCACACTGGGCTTTGCCCTTCAGGAAGCATCTCTAGTACTTTTCATTCTCTCTTGAAATGATGATTGAATATTTCATGATGGGACCTGTTCACTTCCATCCTCTCATTGATAATGCCATTTTTGGGACCTCTCAGCCTTTCTTCTAATCCACTCTGGTTCAATTCATTGTTGGGTCCCCAGGGGGACATTGTCAAGCAATTGTTTTTCTTGGGAGGTGTCCCTCTAAATAGTATATCTTTATTTTCTGATTCAGTCTTCCAGTTGTCTCAGGAAAAATAAATAGAAGTTTCAATATCTTGAACTCAAAAGTTTATGCATCTGATTTTCACATTTTCAAGATTTCACCTTACTTTATGGTTTCCAAAAGCAATTTTTCAAATGATGATTCTTAAAGTGTGGTCCCTGGACCAGAATCAGAGGCTTCTAAGGTGGTCACACCTTAAAAATGCAAATTCTCATGCCCCACCGCAGACTTACGAGTCCCTGGAGGTGGGACTTGTGTTAACTGCAGGTTTGCTTCTAGCTGTTTGCAAATCACTCGGTAAAGATTGTATGAGTATTTTGGGTCCTTTTGATGTTTATAGTGATTCAGTCAAGAGAATCTTAGACTTTTCTACATCTTTCCAAGCTGTTGCTCTAGGAAATATATTCATTTAACCCCAAACAGAAATTTACAAATAACTTTTATTCTTGAGATTTTAGTTAATTTGTGTATTCTTTTTCACTGACAATACTAGAGTATGTCTTTAATCCTCAAAATGAAACCAAGACTTAGTTTAAGGTATCAATGCTTACTTCCTTCTCCTGGAGAACATTTTTAATGGGCAAATTTATTCCAGCATTTTTCTTTGCAGAAATCCTAAATTTAATTTCATTTAGTGAAAATATGTTCTTAGGACAGTGCACATTTTATGGCCTAAAATGATGTAAAACATAGCCATAATGACAATTATGCACCCTAAGTGTCAAAAAAATATATGGTTAGTAACTGCTAGTTTTATGACATTTCTTACATGATAACTATGCTAAGTCAGTGTCAGCCATAATAATTTGTATTTGATCCATACCTCTTCAACAACTCACTTTCTTAATTACTGTGTCCTTTTGCAGTGAATCTTTTGAATTTAGTAGTAGCGTTAGTCATTAAATGTGTGATGCTGTTGACAAATAGGCACATTATTTCATTATATGAAATCCTACTTTCAAACTAAGGATTTTCTGCATCATTTGTCAATAAAAGCCATTTACAAACTCCCCCATCTAGCTGTATTATTGATCTGATTCCTAAACTGCAACTAATATGAACATTAATCTGCAAATAGCCATAATTTAAAAATATTTCTGACAAACCATGAAAAGCACCGTTCACAGTTTCTCTTCAGTGTCATGTAAACAAACACCCACTTGTGGCTGAATGGATTTGTTATAAAGAAAATTCAGGTCACTTGATCAAATACAAATTTGGGAGGTTCCTTATCAATCCAGTAAATTAATATTTTCTAGGAAGATAATGAAAAATGAGGAGGCCAAAATGCTCATGTGGATGATAAAATTTTGATAAGCATCCTTTTTCCCCATGGGGTCTTCTTGATAGACTAGTGGAAATATTGATTATGATAAACTGTGGTTTAAGCAGCAAGCAATTCCACATGGAGTGTGTAGTGAGAAAAACGTATTTCATTGACTAGTTTGAAAAGCTTTACCTTAGTTTCAGAATAGCACCTGTGTCCACAGACAGTCTCAGGCTTTTGACATGTGACTACTTGGCAGAGCTCACCACCACAGTCCCTCATTAACTTCTGGGTTTTGGGGCATGAACACCATGTTTTCCAAAAGAGATCATATCCCAGAATGATGCCATTTGACTTCCCTGGAGACAGCCAATCAATGAGAAGGGGCCTGCAAAGGAGAGAATAATCAATACTCCTGAAAAGATGGCAGTTAACACTGCTGCTATCAGCCTCGCCTACTTTTCAATTAATCCAGATTTGTCAAAAGGAAGGTTTACTTCATCAGTGTTCTAATTAAAAAGCTGCAGCAAAAGCATGTATATAGAGAAATATATATAAATGCACATGCACATATATGTATATCCACACACATATACACACATATATGGCATATATACCACATATACATACACATAAACATATAAATGGGGAATATCCATGCTAAATTATACTACTATATAGTATTTTTGAGAGCCAATCAATACTATTTAATCTTTTGGGAGAATAACATGTGACGAGAGTCCAATGGTCTCCCTCTTCACATTTCAGAGCTAAGAACCCAGTATCACAGTGGTTAATTTGGAAAAATCAACAGAAACTGTTAGCTTGACATATAAAAATAAGACACAAGTAATATGATTTGGTAAATAGGATGAAATTTAGGGTATGTGGCTAACCATATAATATCAATATGCATTGATATTATAATGAGCTTGTAAGAGCAAGATGTTATATGTAATGATAAAATTGATAAACCTCCAATTATACTTTACTTTGATACAGCTTCATTTTTGACTTATAAATTTAATTCATTCTCTAAAACTTATTTAAATACCATGGTCAGATTTAGTGGTCAGAAATGTAGGAAATGGAGATTTCCATACCCAATACCTTTACATCGCCACATTCTTTTTTTTTTAAGATTTTTATTTATTTATACAAGCACTGGGGTACAGGCCAGTGGCACGGGAGGAAGAGAGGATTCACCAGAGACAGAGTGGGGAGCAGAACAGGCAGAAGGACTGAAATACACTGCTGGGGGAAGCAGCAGGTGAGACAGGAGAGGTCTGCCGCAGAATGTGGGAATCTTCTTGGCTGACTGGGAGTCAAACCCACGATGCAGAGGCTGTGGACAGCTTCACAGTGCTGTGCCCAACCCGCTGTACCACCAGGGAGGCCCCTACATCACCATATTCTTAAAAATGTTTGATTTTTAGAAATTGAACAATTTCATTCTAAACATAACTATACTTTGGTGGGATAGACAAGGAGGGCATAACATCTGACAAAAACTTTACTGCACCTCAATCTATTAATACTGAGTCTGCTGTAATGAAGATCATAACTTAAACCTGTTCACAGGGATTCAACCTTGAATAAAGTGAGTTAACTCTGAGGTCAATGTTACAGATTCTAATTCTGCACGTAGATCTCTATGCCAAAATGATGCAGCTGGGGTGACACACCCATCCAACCCTTTGTAATTTTTTAATGAACCCTATATGCAGTGAGTAATTAAAGCATCAGAGATTTGGACATCACATGTTCCTGCAATTCAGCTTGTCAAAGAAAGCCTACTACTTGCAAAGCATTAGAAAATACAAAACGATTATTTTTGTTCTTATTTTCTAAAAAAGAGGGTTAATCTCTGCCGTTCATGAATAAATGTATTTTTATAATTCTAGAATACCAACCATGACAACTAACCAATCACAAATAGTTACAGGGTATTTTTACATATTAAACATTCCAATAAGTATTTGGAGGGAAGCAAACACAGGAGAACTTACTTCCAATACTTTGGTAAAGATCCTACAATAAAAATCCCTTAATAATTTATATTGACCACTTTTCTGCTATTATGTATAATAATATTTTTGTTATGACTTTCATTTTAAGGAGAATTATATCTTAACAGGCCAAATTACTGGACCCTATCAGAATTCCAAGTGACACTGCATATTAGGAATTCAATTAAGTCCAAACATTTACATTAAAAAGCAGCAGTCAAGATAAACCTTGACATTTTAATAGACTGCTAAAAAAAAAAGGAGAAAATGATTATTTCATTTTCTTGGGAGGTACAAACATAACACATTCACTAATCAGACTCTGTAGATAGGAAATTAATGTCACCTATAAGCGAACAGTTTCATAGGTGACTTGTATGGTCACCATTATTATTCTAAGGTCTTTATCCAATTCTCAAAATTAATCCCACATTTTGCAGCTACCTCTTTTGTATTCATTGCATAATCAACTACAGACAAGACTACATTTAAGTGACACTCAAGGGTCTGTCTCATCCACAAAAGATGGTGAACCAATATGGTGTAGAAATAATCATGTAGCACACCATGACTCTGTAACGTCTCTTTCCTGCATAGTGTAACTGTGAAGTGAGGCCATCTATGTTTTTAGTTTTGCTTTTGAGGCTGAGTCAGACACATAAGAGATGATCAAGGAATATAGATGGATGTTTAATAACTATCCACTTCTGATTACAAAGAGGGATACTGCAAAATCTATTGGATGCTGATTTAAATTATAAGATATTTGTGAAAAATTGATGCCACTACATCATTTTGACGTTTAAGAATAAAACAGAAGGAATAGCTTGAACCACAGATGAATGTTAAATATTGGGGAGACTAGCTGAAGCTTTCTTAGTACACGTCAGGTCATTAAATGTTGCAGGTCATGCAGAAGCATCAACAGGTCATAAGACCTTGAATGGACCTTTTTGGGTAGATTTGTTCATAAATGAATTATTAGAGTTATTCAGCTCTAGGAGATAGTTATTTTACTAGGGGATAAAATTTAAGCTACCTTCTTGAAGTTTCTGATAAAAGCCACCTTGTCTACAGACATTTTGACACTGAATCATTGACTTTTGGGATATTTTAATTGCAGCTATTTCAATTTGTCGTATTATCTGTAGATTTATGAGGGTGCCTTCTGTTACTACTGTGGATGTTACCTCTCTTCCACTTGTAACTTCAGGAAGTGCAAAACAACATTGAAGATGGAAAGGAATGTGGGAAAAATAATTTTTTATCGCCTACTTTATGCAGGTGACTATTAAAATGATACCGGTGATGCGGCATTTTTATGAAGAGCTAGAGTTCCCACTGGTATTCTTTAATATTTAATTCTAATATTTTATCACCATTTTGTTACAATGTTCATGTTTGAGCCAAAGGAAAAAAAAGACTCTTCAGCTACCTTAAGACACTATCAAAATTGTTATAGATTGAATAGCTCAGATTCAATGATTATCTTTACACAAGCTTTTCACTCCCAACTTACTCCATTTATTCATTTTTGTCATATAACACTCAAATTCTTCAATATTATTACAGATTATGGTTATCAAAAAGGATCAGGATTCTTTTAACATAAGACTAAATATGTATAATGTGATAAAATACTAATTTTCTGCTCTCCAATCAAGTCATTGAATGTTTCATCATCTACTAGAATGTTTAGATAACATTTAGAAAAAATTCCAAAAGATAAAGCCCATATCTTTGAGTTTACAGCATACACACATAAAGCCTGTTGACTATTACATAGCAGTATGAAATAAAGTGTTTAAATGGGAAGTTCAGGCCACAAATATCATGAAAACACAAGATCACTGTCTTCTAGACTAAACAATGTGGGTTTCATAGGAGAAGCGGTTGTGAACTTGAATAGATAACAAGAAGATGGGCAGAATTCTGAGAGGAAGATGAACGTCAATAAACGTAAGACATGGAAATCAACTTAGAGAATCCAATGGTCAGATACTAGCCAAAACAGCTGCAATGACAGGACAAGAGATGAGTGCCACACCAGTGATCAGCAGCCCGCTGTTCTCAGGAGCCAGTAGATGCCTCCTAAGATGACTAGGCTTGAGCGACCTTGAAGGTACAGGGACCATGATGTCAGCCTTCTGAGATGAAGGGACTCCAGCCAGAAGATCCACTTTCTAGCCAGAACTTATTGCATTTATTCATTTTTGTCAGTCTTATATGTAACACTCAAGTTCTTCAATATTTGCTCTGTTGGCACCATAACAGACCAGTCACAGAAGACAACTCACATGAGAGGGAACTAGGCTATAGGGAGACCCTACAGAAAACTCTCAAGGGAAACAAACTATTGTCTAAGAAAGTGTCACCTGCCACACAGAGGCTCTGATGGCCACCAGTGATGACAGTGAAATAACAACATTGAGAAGAGACATTTGAATGGAAGGGAACAGGAAAAGAAGAGCAAGGGGGAGAGAAAGGGTGACTGGATGTTAGATCTGAGCCCATCAAACTGTAGAATCACTGTACTAGGTGTGAGTTTAATATTCAGCTGGAGAGGGAATGAACTTTTAATACGTGATCATGAATCTTAATTATCAAAGTAAGACTAGTACCAGAAAAACAACTTAAAGCCACAAGATATTCCTGAAAGGTTTTCAAGTGCGGAGGAGAGAACAGTCAAAGGCTTCTGATTAATAGGCAAAAAATAAAGCATTTTCCTCTTTGTAGCTCTTTGAATTAAGATAGCTACAGAAACTGATTATATAAACTCAAATGCTGAAAGCATGACCGAAGTGGGGTGTTGGTGGTACAAATGGAGATGAGCACATGAGAAGATTCTGGGAAAGAAAACATATTATATAACTGATGTTTAGTGAACATATGGGGTTACCAAAGTTCCAAAATAACAGGTCTGATAACAGGTAGAATGGTGGCACACTTGCAGAAACAGATGCTAAGAAAAATGAGATGAGAATTAACTTCTGAGGTTTGAGGTTATGGAAGTGATGAGTAGATATCAGTACAGGAAATCAATAGGCAGCTGAATATATGGTACTAGAGTTTAGGGAGAAAATAAGGCCAGGATCTAGTATGCATCAGTATGACTACAACTGTGAAAATATTTGCACTATCTGAGTAGCAGAGAATCTTTCTGTTGAGGACACCCACATTTAATGAATGGATTTGGCATGAAACAAAATATGGAACCAATGGGTGTTCTGAGGACTAGGAACA